TCAATAGTAGTGGGAAAGCTTCTTTAATTTCCTACCAGATGTCAACTCAGTTATTTCTAGAACCGCATCTTTAAATTTATTTTAAGTGCTTTATCTTTCTTATCGTTACTTTCGTTGGTAAGAAATGAAATTTAAGATTTGATAAATAGTTTGAACCTGTCAGCACAGCAGATTCTACCAAAATTAATGACCCGTATGACCCCAAGAGAGAAATTGATATGCGGAATGGTTCACTGTGGTGCCTCATCAATGAAATTTTGTTCAGTTTAGTATGTTGGATACAAAGAATGCATATAAAGTTCCAGAATTTGAGCTATAAATGAAATATATGAACACAATCTGAACATAGAAAACTACAAATGCGCCAAAAACAGTTCTCGGTAACATTGATCATCCATGTAAAATTTTTAAACGATCTTCGTTTCTGAAAACGAATTAAAAGGGAAATGATGCAATTAGTCTAGGAATGTTTTTTTTTTCAAAATAAAGTCAGTAAATCCAAAACTTTGATTAAAACCCCCTGTTAAAGTAAACAAAAGACATAAATATAATTGATAATAAAAGTTTAATCCATGACCAAATATTGAAACAAAAAAAACAGGGTTCAGAATGAATGGTATTTGATGACGAAAAAGATTCGAACCAAAAAACGTGATTGCATTGATTGCTTGTGTGGATAAATAACCAGCCCTGCAATATCCTATGAATCTAACCGGAGGATGCTCAGCAATTTTCTTTTTTTTTTTTTACATTTTTAACATTTTGAAAACACATCGACAATAAGGGTCAACATTACAATGTGGGCTTAAAACTTTTAAATTCAAGCGAACCTTTCACAACCATAGACAAGGTCTCATGGAGAAGCAAACCTAAAAGGGAAAATGGAAACTAGCTTTAGTCTTTTGATGTAAGCTGAAGTTTCGCATCCACAAAAACTTACATTTTTAACAAAAAATTTTGCAACGCAGATGTTGGTGACGTCACGATTGAAAACCAACAGAGTATGGAGATAAGCTAAGCTTTTAATTTTATAACATATGTAGATATAATGGCGGGAGATATTATGGCGGGAGATGAGAATAGCTTGTGGAATGATAGTAAATATTTATGATCTCGCCTTAAAATAGCAAGAAATCAAACGCTGGAAGGATAACATAATTCATGCATAAGTTTTTCAATGTTTGCAAATATGTATAAGGCAAAACAATAAAGACATGTTCTTAAAGGAGATATCTCGCTTAATTCTATGTATGCAAAAGTAAACGATTTGGTGATAAAGTAACATGAAAGATTGTCAATATTTCAAATTGCATTCAGCTCATCTAATGTTGTCCACACGTGTTTCGAACACTCAATCCTAATCAGGACGATTCGTTTCGGAAACGGGAGTTAACTGTCCAAAATTTGGCTGTAAGCGCATGATCAAAGTTTGCGAACTTACTGGATAAAAAGGTAAAATCCCCGATGCTCAAGCTCAATTATTCCACTTCCGGTGTTAAGGAGTAAAATGCAAAAGATCAGCCGACATTGTAACTATAGAAACAGACGAAATAGTCCCATTAAGATTTAAAATGCTTGATTTAAATCACTATCTATAATGTGGGATAGTTCAGTGTAAAAGTAATCATACTAGCCAAAAAGGAAAGAATGCTTTTGTTAACTAATTAAGTCCGATCAAATAAGTAACAAAATACTTAAAGTAGCATAGCAGGCCTCATAGCACATTTTGCGCAATATCGTTTACTTCCGGTTGAGTCAGTTGGCGTAGTTAGATGTAAGGTAGATAAGGCTTAAGTACCAGTCCAAAAACTGATCATGTATAGGCCTATCAGCACGGTACATGCATTTCAATAGCAAAAGGAACAATTCGGAGGCAGATTTAACACAATGCTGATAAAACATTCAAAATAGACTAAATAATAAACAATAGAACATAGTTCAACCGCTAGACAGTAATTATTCAAAATTCCAAAAGGCTTTTTGCATTATTGTATACTTTCAAATGAATGACGTGACAATCTCGAAAAAACTACGGAATTTTGAAGAACAACTGCTAACAGTAACTATATAGATAATAAACGGTATTTATATCAAAAATGTATAATAAATAACAAATTGTTTTCAATTACATTCATATACAAATTTACATTGACACTGATAGTCCACAGTCGAATAATAATACATTAAGATAAAGATAAGGGAGATAAATCAATTGTTAGAACAATCCTAAAACCCAGTTTGCAGTCGGACAAAGATAACTATGCAAATCCTAGGACGTTTCTAGACGTAAACAAGAACAGTCCATTTTGTTTTTAAAGGAAGAATATAATCAACTTTATAGAAGTCGTACCACCTCAAAATAATGTGAACTGTTCGTGTTTATATTTTGAACTCTACTGGACGTGTATACACATCGTTGACCGACTTAATCAAATCATATCTATTTTCAAAATATCATCAAACAAGCGTAATCCTTCAATCAACGGCCAGTAACTCTGTTCTTGACGTGATATAATTTTGAACAAAACTACGGCAGCAACATGTAAATTAAAGGCTATGAAAAATTAAATGGAAAATCTATTATAATTATTACTTTGTTACACCCTTAAATTAAATACTATCTTTAATTAAAGCAAAATGAAAAAAACCTAAATTTTAGTGCACTTAAAATAACCTACACCAAGTGCTTACATACTTCTGCTGAAAACAATGACAGAGGCGAAATTCTACAAATATTGTGTTTTAAAAATAAAAGAGCGGTTGATACAAGGGACATAACTCTAAGAACATTCACACACGCAAAGTTCAGCAGAAAAAATAGACAAATGTCTGAATATCAATCAACTACTTTTTACATCTTGTACATAACAGACGTTAACTCTGACCGATACATTTTTGAAGAAACATGCAGGAAGAGTTCACGTCTGAAGAATTCTGTGAGGTTAGCTATACATAATAGCAGCAGTTCGCGACATAGCTGAGATTTGCAGCCTTTTTAGATCTGTTAACAATGCTTTTACCAGTCTACTTTCAAGCTAAATGAAAATGTAAAACAGCGAAAAGTCCAAGCAAAATTGATAAACATTTTTTGAAAAATGTAGTACACTTACTATTCTCTTACCTTTGTCAGTAAATGAAATTTAACCGATAATTTTTGTGAGAATTGGAAGACCATCTCCAAAACAATACTGATACTCTTGGAATGACCGCATATATAGGTCTATCCTAAAATTGGCCGCAAATTGCCCAGTGTGAAAACAACTTTCAAATATGATAACCTTATGTGTGTCTACGTTTATAATTTCATCAACACAGAGGCATTATAAAACTCTCAGTAATATTTTGAAGTTGATATTCATTAAAGATTAAATCAGCAAAATTAGGTTTCCCGACATAAATACGGTAGTTGTGGACAATTATGAAGACGCGACAGAGTAGAGGCTTTTCCAATATATCCTTATATATATAATATATAGAAAATGACACAAATAGCACAATATCCAATATAACAAATAAAAAAAGTAATTATAAAAACTTATCATGGAATAATAAAATTGTCTATGAACATTATTATTATTGTTGCTTTGATGGTTAACAGTTTTAAACCATTATTTTGATGACATCATATTTACAAATTCTGAAAATATAAATACAAATTTGATTATGAATTTTATACTTAAGAGGGTAAAGAGATGGTGGTCACCTTTAGAGTGACAGAAGCTGTGGGAAACTGCATTATCAAAGACAGTTGGCAGTCTTTGGGTATCTGATCACGAGAGTATGAGTTGCTATCAGTAAGTAATCTTCTACTTTCTACCGTCAATTGCACTCTTGATTCGTTCTGAGTGTTCTGTCACCATCCATTTGATGGGAGCCGCGGTGGCTCAGTGAGTTAGACGCTTGCTCTCTAACAAGAAGGTCCAGGGTTCAATCCCGGCATAGGTCGAGATAATACCCTCGGATTTTTCAACCCGGATTCCCCCTGTCAGTGATGCAGGTAAGAGGGGCTGACATGGAAAAAGCGTCTAGTCGTTCGGATGGGACAATAAACCGAGGCCCTGTGTGCTACAAGCTGTGCACGTTAAAGATCCCTCGACAGTTGGAAATCGAAAAAGAACAGACTAATGCCGCTGTCCTGGCAAAATTTCCCTTATCGGACCCTGCATGGCGTTGCCCGTCTTCATTAGCCCACATGGTGCAGAAAAGTAGGACGTAAAACTCCATTCATTTCATTTACCACCCATTTGAACACTTGTAGCCGGAGACTGTAACTGATCCGATGAGTTGCTTTGAATCGGCAGTCGATCAGTTATTTTGTCTGGTCACTCTAGACCGTACTTTGAACATTGTCTTTCCCATGTTCGATTCATAGCAATTTCCATTCGTGAATAACAACCAAAATGTCTGAGCAACCATATCAATTTGATCCTTAGGGATTGGTTGTAAACAATGTTATCTCTCACAGCTTATGTTCTAAATTATAGCCTGTATAATGTAGTACAATGACACCAACAATCAAAGTGACAATATATAGCACGCAATCCTCCCATTAAAGCCAATGTCGAGTCCAGATGATTTTGTTTGAATAGCAGGTTAGACTTGGTTTGAACATTTAAAATGCATGTATATCATCATCGTTTAATTCTCAATGCGAGGCCGTGTTCTGAGAAATCATTCTTGACAACTAGAATATTAAGAACTAACACGAGAACAGGTTCTTGTCACTCCTCATCTCACCGGAAGTGAAGAACAAGAACGCAAATAAAACAAAATGGCGTCTAATATAATCAAAGCATCTTGTATTATATCAAGGGATAAATTATGTTTTCTTGGTAGTTTAGTTTTTAAAGCCTTCAAAAATGTTATCATTGGCGCAAAACAAAAGTACTGGGGCTTTCTCTCATGGCGAATACGACCTAGCTTAACGCCTGGACGACGTACCTCCACGGTAGAACTGCGGAAAAATAAGAACCTGCTAGGAAAAATTCTTGAATTGTGTATCAGAAGCCCACAGATTGGCCTGAAAATTCGTAAACAAATACAAAGACTGCGACGACCTTGATCTTACCTTCATAATTCACTTGTCCATCACCATCTATATCAGCTTCGCGGATCATTTCGTCCACTTCTTCGTCGGTTAACTTTTCTCCTAAATTGATCATAACGTGTCGCAATTCTGACGCACTAATATACCCATTGCCATCTTTATCAAAAACTTTAAAGGCTTCCCTTAATTCTTCTTCTGAATCTGCGTTATTCATTTTTCTGTCCATCATTGTTAAAAACTCTGGGAAATCTATCGTTCCGTTTCCTGGAATGTAAAATTTGTTAATATTAACAATATGTGCGGAGTGTTTCCAACAGAGGCAAGATAGAGCAAAATAATGTCGGGATGACCAACACGACAAAAGCAACGTTCCAAATTAACTTTAAAGTCACATAAACATTGAAAAGTCTGCAACATAACATATCACGGTATGTAATTATCGCCATTGTTGGCTGGGGTCATGTCCAGATGATCACGCATTTCTGGTAAAACAAACATCAGAGGCTGGTAGTTTGGACTACAAGTAATTGTTAACAAAGCCAATACAAAGACAATCGTTGTTGTATGGAGGAATTCAAAAAGTATCTATGGCTAACGGATATAGCATTGAATGCACAAATTAGTGTCAGGATTATTTCCCAAAGGATCATAAATCTGGAGATTATATTCACGTCACAATATTACTATCACTTGACAAATCATTGAAAATACCCTGGCTCGACCCAGAAGAAAAGAAGCTCGATCCAGAACAAACCACGAAATTTTCTATTACCGAAGTAGATTCAGCTTTACGAAAACTGCCGAGAATTGCCGTGTGATACGTATATTGCATGAAACAATATCGCACGACGACGCCACGTTCAATAGACTGGACTAGAGTGAATATGGCTTTAATGGTGGACATGATTGTCATCAAATTCATATGCTTGTTTTATTACCCAAGTGACGATATAATTGCTATATTTGAGAGTAGTGGAGTACATTGACTTGTAAATTCTATAATTAAGATATAAAATCAATGAATCCCGAGGGAAGCGATTCCTGAATAAAACCACGAAACCAGAACTTGATCATTTTATATGATAACTCTGGCTCGGTAATTCCTATTACTACTTAAAGTTGTCATGCGGGGCCAAATTACGGACTGTATTTGCAAAAGGTTTACCGTACAGTACATAATAATCCGGACGATCAATTTGCTAAATTGCGAAATTTGCTTTATCTCAGAAGAACTGAGAGTACTAATTGTTTATTAAGCAGTTTGGCCCAATTTTGGTGTTATATAATGGCTCGATATTATTAGGTGAAACCTTTAAGATAAGAAGAAGACATATTTTTCTACAATTGGGCGTTTATTTTACTTCAATCCGTACAGTAGTTTTCTAACAGCTTCCTAAAAGCATAATGAAGTTTAAAAGTTTACGTAAACTTTCTAAATAGTTTTGACGTTAAAAAATGGCTGGATTTTTTAGTTAAAACTTTCAAATATGTTAAGGGACACATTTCTCCAGATTTTGGTGTATAGTTTTCAGAAATTTGAGTAAAAATTGTTTCGACGTACAAAAAAGCGGAATGTCCCTTTAAATGAATAGCATGGTACTTGATTGTGTAAGTATGTTAGTACATACTACCCTCTATATAAATGTCACTAGTTGTAAAGTGTATTGTAGATTGTTATAATATAAAAGAAATGATACTAGAATGATCTATTACGTTAAAGGGGGATTATCCTGAAATACTAACAATCGATGAACCTTGATTTCAGCCATCATATTATGCTATGACATTCTATGTTGCTATGCTATGCTATGCCTCACATAAATTCTTATCAGTCTTTCACTTCTAGAACCTAAACTACACGTTTGCTTTCTTACATCAACGAGTTCAACTTTAGCTATCAGTATCACTTTTAAGAATGTGGCCCCAAAGAAAAACAAACCATAGAGGTCCACAGAGTAACATTCCTAAACATTTCAGAAACACAGAGAAATTTGGCACAAAATTAAACGTATAGGCCTTTACGTCAACATGATAAAAACAAAATGGCTGACTTACCGTCTGCGTCGACTTCGTTAATCATATCTTGTAATTCTGCTTCGGTTGGATTTTGACCTAGAGATCTCATTACAGTACCTAATTCTTTAGTAGTTATAGTACCATCACCATCTTTATCAAATAAACTAAACGCTTCTTTAAATTCTAAAACATGAATAAAAAAAATATACGTTATATTAAGAATATAGAACTTATCAAAATTTAGATCAGCTCAATTCCTTCTGCCTGAGTTGTAGGAAAATTCGTCTTGTAATTAGGATGGGTGAAACAGTGAGTTCTTATCATGCTACAAATAAATCGACAGTTGAATTTGAAAAGAGTTTTCCTTTCCTGACATTAGGAGACACGTTTCTCCACAATTTGGCGTTTATATTACGTAAATCCGTATACATTAATTTTAACAACAACCAACAACACGGCGGCTCTGAAACGTTTACGTAAACCCTTTAAATAGTGTTTGCATCAGATATTAAGTAAAAACTTTCAGGTAATGGACACTTGGGGGGATTTTAATCTATAAATTTGACCACCAAAGTTTCCCAACTAACACTTCACCTATAAAATTTGCTCGAGAATCTTTGTGGGTATATTCATGTATGAATGATGTTAACCTAGTGGTCACTATCAAAGAGGATTGATATGATACCACCAAAGTCACCTCAGGGACAAACGGACAACAATATGCTAATTTATTTCATAAACTCATAACTTCAGGGACAATATAATCAAATATGTCTTTCGCTCATTAACATAATTTATTCTAATCTATTGGCCAAAAGGGAAATATCAAAAATAAATTCTTAATAAAGATAAAAACCTATCGTTCAATGTCATCAGCTATAAAAATATCTTCATAGGTCAATATGATTCAGGGCAAACACAATTTAGTTACAAATAGTTTCCATAAAGATATGTACGATAACCAAACCCAGGATGTCATTTTGCTCTACTTTTGGTTTCGCTCTCCCACTATTCGTCACTGTTATAACGAAACGGACATATATGGCACGCTTTGACTGGTTTCAAATAATGTCATCGGAACTGGACTGCGGTAGAAAATTTGTTTGATCACATGTAGACAAAAAATATCAGAGAAAGTTTAAAAAAATTAAATGGATAAAATCATATTCATATATTGTTATGTTCCGTTATGTTAATGTTATGTTGTGTTTTGCGGGGCATTCCAGATTATCCAATATAATACGTCGATGGAATGCCGCTTTAAAACCATCACCACAAAGTACAGGGTGTGATTGAAGCACTAATTGCTGATAATAAAAGAGAATATTGAATGAAAATACAATCAAGCTATTAGCTAGTAATTACGAGAATTATTGAATACAATACAAAAATTATTTATTCATCGTGTTTACACCATTACACTGCATTCAATATTGATTCTATTAAACAGATACAAAAGAGGTTACATAGCCTTTACATGTATATCGAGGACATTTCTATTTGCATCATTTCCATTTCGATTCCGATGTCAGCTATTCTTTTAAAGGTATACTACCTCTTACAATGATTTAAAAATCAAAAATTTTAAACTTGGCCAAAATGAGTCTTTGTTCATCAGTGGACTTACCTGATGTCAACTGTACGACAGAATCCCTAAAAATTCCCATGAATTCATAAAACTAAGTGATAATCCATTAAACTTAGTAATTTTTAAACAAGCTTTTTGACCAAATTTGAAACTATGCTAAGAGGTAGTATTCCTTTAAATTCATGAAAAGTAGAAAAATATTTACAGGATGTTTGCAATAGTGACACCACTTTATCTGGAATTGCAGGAACCACAAACGATGGATTTTCAATAAATCTCCAGAATTTTATCGCATTATCATAAACGTGTGACTGACTTCAAATTACTGCCGCGTCCTTCATCAAGAATTTGTTACTTTGTAGCTGAAGACAATATTAAAAGCATATCCGTCAAACCTATGTTGATTTTGTCAATAATTTTACAAAACTAGAAAGAAAGAATAGATAAGAAAAGTTTCATGATCCATGAATGAATGAAATAACCCAGAGTTTTAATTATTCAGTTTCATTATTTAGTTATAATTATTCAGTTTTCATTATTCAGTTTTCATTATTTAGTTTTCATTATTCATTTATAATTATTCAGCTTTAATCATTTAGTTATAACTATTCAGTTATAATCATTCAGTTATAATAATTCAGTTATAATTATTCAGTTTTAATACTTCAGTTATAATTATTCAGTTTTCATTATTCAATTTTCATTATTCAGTTTTCATTATTCATTTGTAATTATTCAGCTTTAACCATTTAGTTATAATTATTCGGTTATAATCATTCAGTAATAATAATTCAGTTGTAATTATTCAGTTATAATAATTCAGTTATAATTATTCAGTTTTCATTATTCAGCTATAATTATTCATTTATAATTATTCAGCTTTAATTATTCATTTATAATTATTCAGTTATAATCATTCAGTTATAATCATTCAGTTATAATTATTCAGTTATAATAATTCAGTTATAATTATTCAGTTTTCATTATTCAGTTATAATAATTCAGTTATAACCATTCAGTTATAATTATTCAGTTATAATCATTCAGTTATAATTATTTAGTTTTAATTATTCAGTTTCATTATTCAGTTATAATTATTCAGTTTTTATTACTCCACTAAAGTAACAGATTTTATAAAGCATGGTAATATCATTATTTATTTATATGAATGCATCACTACACTCAATTATAATGATGATCTAAATTGACTGTTATAAGCTGTGACAAATATAATTATTAATTATTCATTGCCATGTACCTAGCACATCAGAAAACTACCACACGATTGTCCCTGTGTAACCATGTTAGATTTTTACTGTGGCATGACTTAAAACTGGAACTGCCTCTTTTTAAATGACTTACATTGTCACATCAATAAATCAAATTTTCTTCAAATTCATCAATTCATTGTAGAAAAATATTTGATTCAGGGCAAACACTGACTTGTATTATCACTCTCGACTGCCATGAATAGTTTTGATTCAAAGTATATATAACTATAATTAGCCACAAAAGTTACTAACCTTCGCATTAGTACTAAAGGTATATCCGCTATTCTTTTAAAGGTATATTATCTCTTAGTATGACCAAAAAATATAAACCTTAAAACTTGGTCCAAGTGAGTTCATCAGTAGACTAGATTAGAAGCGTGTTTCAATAATTATTATTTTAACGGATATATCGTCTTATATAGAGATTCTATTCTTTAGTCATGGCCCATGGTAAGTCCAACTGATGATTATATACACTTGTTGACCGTGTGTGAGACTTTAACTTTTTTGTCCATTCTAAGAGGTAGTACCCCTTTAAGTAATTTTTAAAGAGCACAGAAAAATATCTAGAAATTTGACTGTAACTTTTATTGAATAACAGAGTATTTCGTGTGTTTGCACTACGCATATACACTGTATGACCAATTTTCTCACATGCACTGTTCTACCAATACCTCAGTACATGTAGTTAAGAAATGGTAACAGTATGGGGTATAATAACATACCAGTGATAATGTTAACAACTCTACTTAACATGTATATTAAGTAGCACTAAATGATATTAACAGAGACAAGGCTCAAGTTCAGCTGTATAATTTCATTATACATGTATTATCTTTTTATATCGTTGGCAAGGTAATGTTATCAACATGCATTTCATTACTTTAGGTGCATATCCGGAATAATTTTAGTTACATATCTAGAATAATCTTAGGTGTATATCTAGAATAATTTTAGGTGTATATCTAATCATAGCTGTATACTTATTTTAGGTTAGGTGTATATGCCGAATAATTTTAAGTATATCCAGAATAATTTGAGGTGTAGCCTTTATCCAGAATTTTTTTTAGAGCATATCCAGACTAATTTCACGTACGTGCATATCCAGACTAACTTAGGTGTATATCCAGAATAATTTTACGTGCATATCCAGACTAACTTAGGTGTATATCCAGAATATTTTTACGTGCATATCCAGACTAACTTAGATGTATATCCAGATTAATTTTACGTGCATATCCAGACTAACTTATGTGTATATCCAGAATAATTTTACGTGCATATCCAGACTAACTTAGGTGTATAACCAGAATAATTTTACGTGCATATCCAGACTAACTTAGGTGTATATCCAGAATAATATTACGTGCATATCCAGTTTAACTTAAGTGTTTATCCAGAATAATTTTACGTGCATATCCGGACTAACTTAGGTGTATATCCAAATATTTTTACGTGCATATCCAGACTAACTTAGATGTATATCCATAATAATTTTACGTGCATATCCAGACTAATTTAGGTGTATATCCAGACTAATTTACGTACGTGCATATCCAGAATAATTGTAGGTGCCTATCCGGAATAACATTTAAATAGGTTTGGATGCATATTCAGAAAGATTTTGGGCGCATATACATTTTAGTTGTATATAGTTTCCGACATACATTGAGAGGTTAAGTATAAATTAAATAAATCAATCATTTAATTTAATCAAAGGAGTCAAAACAAAAGCAAGAAAGATCAATCTTTGACTGTTCCAATTTATAAGACAAGGTTATAAGCATGATCTTTCCTTTTTATCTTGTAACGTTATAGTTAGAAGATAAAATAATCGACAAGACCATCAATCACTGGTCGTTATTACAGTGTTAGAATGACACTGGCAGTCTTCAACATAATTTAACTGTCGTAAAACCAAGCCATGGTCTTAAAATCGAGTCACGTTGTCTTAGGTAATGAAACCGTTAATTGCCCACCAAGCGAGTCGATTATGGACTTTTTATACGTTTCTCGTTCATTTAATGAAGATTGGCACGTCGAAAGTAAATTTGGAAGGATTGCCATGGATCTTATAATGAACACTAAACTAAACGCGTTTGAATGATTGGGAGCTAACGACATACAAAAAATAACCGAAGGCTGAATTTTTCAACAGATACAGACTTGGGACGTTGATTTTAGAAACCTTCAGTTTCATTCCGATTCAATAACATCGATTGCAATGATGGGGCTTTTTACTCCCAGATTCAGATTCTACATGCAGAGGTACTTCATTGGGGCATTCCTCTGGTCTACGTACTTTCAAATTCAATGCACTTTACGACCTCA